AGGTCATTCATAGACTGTGAAGGCAGATTCTATAGTCCTTAATTCAGTCTTCACAGCATTAGTCCTGATCCACAGTAGTTGAGAGGGCCCCAGTAGAAGAGCGGTCCATGGTCCTTACTGCTCCAGACATTAGACTGTGCAGATCAGACATCTGATGTTGCAGCAGCTGTTATTGGTGGGACAACAGTCATGGCTCTGATTCCATTTGACCATTCTCCAACCACATAAAACAATCTATGACACAGGTCGACATACAGTTGTTGGCACACACACACACACACACACACACACACACACACACACACATTATTATTAAACCACTCAGCACAAAGTTGAGTGGATAGCAAATTTCCATAAGATTGAAATAATCTGATACAGTGGTGTGAAATCTTTTGTTTGAGGATCAGTTTAAACAACCAATGTGTGCTGTACTTACAAAGGAACATAGAGAGGAGATTATGCTTTATCTTTGGGTTGAGAATGAGGTGAGAATACTGTATTTGTATAGAAAGGAAATTTGTCTAATACGACCTCTTCTCCAAACTTTAGACATGAACTCCAGTTTAACTTTCACATGGGGATGTTGTTGGAAACAACTATTATATTGTATGATGCAGCAAAACTGCTTCAGCATGTTACTGGACTGATTATGTGTTTATTTCTATATATTCTACAGGCCATATCTTCACTTATTGAATTTAATGGACACATGGTACATCTCTGTTTGTGTGTTACTTTACTGGTCCACTGGAGACAGCATTCAGTGTCTTTTCCACTGTGTTCAAAGTGGAACAAAGTGTTTCTGCCATGACGTCTGATTAATGAAAATCCTGGGAGTTGAGGGGGAACAGTAGCAATCCTCTACCTGCAAGAATCCCATTTAGAGTCAGCAGTAGCCATCGTAGAAATCTCTGCGCCCATGACTTCATCCTTCATCTATTCTCCATTATAACTGTAGTAGATACTGGCTTATTCCTACTCAAATACTATATTGCAATATTTAAAATTACCAGTATGATCCAAAACATGTAATTTTAAATTAAGCAAATCCAAGATCCTTTCTGTCTTATTTTGTGAAGAAAGATTTGAATGTTGCAATTTTTTCCCCTTAATGGCTGTTTTATTCTAAAGTGGCACACCCACAATTAAAAGCATTAACAATTCCTTCAATACATTTGAAGACTGCATCACTGTAACAGACATTATGTTCAAGATTTGAAACCTTTACTGCTAAATACAGCTATGCTGGGCAGAAATAAATTTACATTTGATTTAAAGCTATGGTGTGCTTTGCAATGAAGAGAGGGAATTATTTCAAGATTCTTCTCATTCATATTTATCCCAGTTTGGATCTGTATGAATAAATGTCAATAGATCCAAGAACAGACATGAAACAAAATAATTTTCAATAACTTTCTGATCAACTCCTCAAAATCAGCTAATCAGGACCCAGTGGGAAATACCTGCGAAAGTAAACTTTTTATGGACCGACATCTTGTTGGCCAACTCAGAGTAATTTCCTGGTCTGGTTTGGATTGGAGTAAATAAGTTCATGTGGCAGAAAACACAACGCTGCAGTTTTTCGCAAACTTGCTGATGCAGTGACACATAATATTACAATAACCAAAAGCCTTGCCTCAATCTAATATGCCATAATTGTGTTATTCATGGTATGACTCTGCTCCTTCCTGTAAACATGGCCTGAACACAATAATGTTATGGTTCGAAATAAATGCTAAAGATTGTTGTAACTACAGTCGTGCTCCACCCAAAACGTTTCAAGCACTCCAGCGGCTATAAAAAAAAATGAAAAAAACAGAAGCTGTGAAAGCTTTGTTTTAAAGTTATAATTCATTCCAATTTTGACTTGTCTTCATGAAAAACAAAAGCTTCTGCGCAGACTTTGCATACAACCTTGTCGTGCTCGTGAGCAGGTGCTGTTGTTGCCTATTGTTTGGAGAACAGCTCTGTTCAGCTTTGTCAACAGAACGTAGACTCCAATCAAGATTTGTTGAGGCATCAGCATCTCATTAGGAGCTTTGCTTTACTTGCCCGGTGTTTGCTCTCAAAGGCAACTTGGTACATGAGCCGTTACAGTAAGGCCAAGTGCTAATCTTTACCCCTTTTTTCTCTCATCTTTATAAGATGCTTAAAAAGACCTAATGTTAATTAAAAATACATTTTTGCAAATGTAAAGATGACTGCTAAACCCAAAACTGAAAGACTTGGCAGGACGACACACATAGTAAACAAACAATGCAATCCGGCATTGTCTTTAAGTTTACACTACATTACATCTACCACAACACATGGTTCTAGAGACACCAAAGGTAAAACTGCAAAGATAAGATTCAGCCCATGCATGATGTAGGCTGCTTAAGTTTTCTACTTATAGCTACATGGTACATCACTGCATTCGTCCTTAGTTCAACATTTTGGGAAATCAGCTTATTTGCTTTCTTTCTGAGAGTTGGATGAGAAGACTGATACCACTCCCTATATATATATATATATATATATATATGCCCTTTGGAAACAAAACAGCTAGCCTGTCCAAAGGTAACAAAATCAGCCTACCAGCCTACTCACTGTGTTAACGTGTTATATCTTGTTTGTTTAATTCATACAAAAACTGAAGTGTAAAGTGTTTTTTGTTGAAGAAATGTTCTGCCTGTTGTATGCTTAGAAGCTCAGTGAGAGGCTGGCCACAGTGAGCTGAGTTGATTTAGGGCCAGCAGCTAAATTAGTGGGTTTGGGGAGAGAATGATAATCATGGTGGTGATGGAAGGGACAGTGAATCTTTGTGTGTGTGTGCGCAGATTCACACATAGACGCCACACTTTCTCTCAAACATGGATCTGCACATATGTTCTGCTGTTAATCCCCTGAGAAGTTGTTTTTCCTTAATAGAAAGCCTAATTATATTTTATATATTCAAACCAGATTTCTCTGTTTATTTTTGCATATTGAAGGTTTTATTTGGCACAGAAATGTGTGTTTGTGTGTGTGTCCCTTTGGTTTTGCAGTATAGCACTGTGTTTACAAGATGTTATGGAGTGTTAAGCAGAGCTGTGAATGTGTGATTCACTAGAAGTGGGAGGAAGTGGAGAAACAGACATCATTCCCGAGGCCCATAAAAAGAAACGCTTAAAAGGTCATTCTTCCCTCCCTAAAGATTCAACACAATCCTGCTTTCCAGTTATCTTTACATCCCTTCCAACCCCCAGCGCTCCTCCAACATGGCGTCAACTACAAGGCCATGCCCTGGGGTGTCAGCGTAGAGGACAACTGCAGCTGGCACCTAATGACGTCCCACGTCTCCATTATTACCAGTCAAAGGCAGAAGAACAAGATCATTTCTGGCTGCTACTGTAGCTAGGTGTGGCTCAGTACAGTAGCAACTGCTCCGGAGTCTGCAGTGATGTGCTGTGGCGACAGTGTTACACAATAAGAGCAGCAAGTGAACTCAGTCACCAGTCTCTGTGTCTTCCTGTCCTTGTCTGTTCTCTATCTGTGTCGTGGTTTGATTGTGTCTTGTTCCGACAGCCTCTCTGCCTGCACACAAAGAGATGGATGAACCTGGCAGGCCCCTCGCTTTGTCTGTTTTTTCCTCTTCTCCTCTTGGCTGGGGTTTATTGAGTTCCTCAATTTGTTCTGATAAATTTGATCATAAACCTCTGAGCGGCACAATCTTTTCTTGTGCAGAAGCTGGCATACAAGGCTTGAACTCCTCTTTTACTTGAGTATATCATAGCAATCAGGCTCAAAAGAGCATATTGCATGAATATATGGTGTATCACACCTTTTACATGGTGACGCCCATCCATTTAGAATAAAAACAACTCAAGACAGATGTCCTTTATGGAGCTAGAATCACTCAGGAATCTATATTTTCACCAGTTTAGATTAAAATGTATAAATATGTACAAAGTAATTAAATTAAGTCCTCTTTGGGATGCTATAAATCCAATGTGGGTGTAATATTTTTAGATCAATGACATGTTGAAACAAACCCCCTACTGGAGCATTTAATCCTGCTGGACGTACCATGTAAAACAAAAGCTGTGATGGACTGCTGTTGCTTTTTGTTTAAAGACAAAGCTGGATAGAGAAGATTCTGTTATTCTAAATTACTTATCCACATTACTTATTATATTACTTATTATAGTCAGGATGCCAATATTGACAATCAACAGTATGGGCTCAGTGCACTAGCATGAAGTGGTATTACGTGCCAGGATATGACCAGTCGCAGTGAAATCACTCTTGAATGCTCAGAGCTGTGATAGGAGGAGAGCACTGCCCTAGTTTGAGTCTGGCGTAATTATGTAATGCTTGAGTACCTGCAGCACCAGCGGCACGACAACTTCTGAATGTGAATCTAGGTAGTGGAGAGTGCAGGCTGGAACTGCACACCTCTTTTCAATCGTTTTTATGTGGCGTGCTACTTAATCTTGAGCTCAATTGGTTTGACTGACATAATGCAGTAATTTACTTATTTAGCATTTGACTGACACATTCAGCCTTTGACTCCCTTATTGCATCCTTTCATCTCCTGTTTTGTTTTTGTTTTTCCCAAATATTTCTCCCTTACCACTTTCTATTCCTCTTTCCCACCATATGTCCATTCCAGCTTCATTCCTCTAACCCTCAGTCCCTCTTGCTCCTTGCCCCTTTCTACCCTTGCCCCCCTCTTTTTCAGCTCTCCCCGTCCATTTCTAACAGCACATTCCAAATGGAGGGTGACAGTATGCAGCTGTGGGTTTTGTCCTCCAGACAGCATCTTAGAGAAAAGCTAAGCCCAACACACACCGATGCATACAGACGGAGGGAGGGATCTTTCATCTGTCGCTTATATAATAGTTTTAAGATGGAGTTATGCTGTGCGGCTTGCATACATGATGCAGTCAGGCCTCAAAGTCTTTGCAATGAAGAAGATAATGTATCATGATGTAAAAACACACTAAACTCTCTTTTCTTTCCTGTTTTTTATTCTTCAGAAAGCAAAGCTCCATGCTGCCTTGCAGGAGAAAAATCGTCTGAACCTTGAGCTAATCAACCACCACCTAAAGGCATCCAAGTATGACCAGGTATGGCAGTCACATATGCGGTGTATAAGTGTGCATTGCAAGGAAACACAAGCACAATGATGATCAATGGGCAACCAGGCCATGATCAATGGGGAAAAAAACTACTGGTGATATAGGTGCTACATGTCACTTGCAGAATGTCCTGTAATTGGCTGTAACATAAGTCATGTGTTGCAATCTGCACAGATCAATACATCTGCAACCTTGTTATCATCATCACATTTGTTATCACGTGTTGGCTCTTCGTGTTCTTTATATTGCGCCTTCACGCACACAATTTTATATGTGGTATTAATGTCATTTCTACCATCTTATACACACATCATTGCTACATTTCCTTTCCTACACTTGTGTCTTTACAGGCACTCCCACTTCACACATACATGCATAAATACGCACAGAGACTCAGACAGAGACAGTCTGTAATAGTGGCACAAATAGTGACTTTCACAGAGGGGGAAGTTTTGACACATGTCCAGAGACTCAGCTCGGAGCTTTTGCTCCACTGCGCCACACAAAAAGATGCCATCTGTGCACCGACAAGGTGGGCACAGAGTTGAAAAGGAAGTGGGGCAAAAGTGTGTCCAGTCCCGCCAGATATACGGCATGAACAAGTGGGACTGGCTTGTAAGGGCAATCGTAGCAAAGACACAGGCAACATGTAGTGGAGTGTGCATAGAGAGAGAATGAAGGGGGAAAGATCTTTGAGTATCTAGATAAGTGCTCTTTAAATAAAATGTATTGCTATTGTTATTATAGTCCGCTTGAAAACTGCGTGTCCCACATGATATAAGCTCAAATGGTATTAAAGCCTCTGACTCCAGCTCCAAACATGAATTCCACAAGATGAATTAACTCATTCCCTTTGCAGAAGTCTAGTTTTGTGCTCTTTGCATAAGCGAGCTTATCTATCGTGCACTCATCTGTTATGTTAATTAATAAGATGATTGGTGTATGGCTCGATCCTGTGAGGCCACCTTAAGAGGAACCAGCTTAGCTACAGGCCTCTCACTGATGAAGAAATGAGAGGCAAAACGCTCAAGTCAGCAGCTCTGTCTCATCAAGGCTAAATGGAAATGTGCTGATTAATTTCTCTTCAGACTGTGAACTCCCAATCAACCCTCCAGCCAAAAAAAAGCCCAGCCTCTATTCATAAATGTAAAAAGTAGGTAGGTCTACTGCGAGAACAAACCTCATTAAAATTGCATGCTTGTTTTCCTCTTTAAAAAAACAGAATAATGGATACATCTTGAAACTCTCCAAGTAAAACAGAAGAAATTAAAGTGTGTTCTCTCTCTTTGTTGTGTTTTTCTGCTTGCCTGTGTCTCTGCTGTCGTTTTCATGGCGTTTTACATCCATGTTGTTGATAATCCTCTTAATCTCCAATTAGATCTTTTTCTTGTCCTTCCCCCTTCCGTCCCTTGCATCTGGACTCTGTACTGTTCATGTAGGTGCAATCAGACTATGACCAGCTGAGACAGACCTTTGCTGTAGTGAGCCAGGAGAGAGACGTGGCCCAGCAGCAGAGGAACCAACTCCAAGGCAAAGTGGAGAACCTGGAACAGGTTCTAAAGGTGAGACTGTCCTCTTTGCTGTCATCCTATGTACCCTTAAATACAGAAATCTCTTTAGTTTTCCTTTGATGTTGAGGGAAGGTTAGGAACATTTCTGATGTCTCCTCCCTCCATGATTCATATTATAATTCCAAGTTTGATGAAGTTTTAATTTTGTCCAATTGTACACACTATAATAATTTGATAACTAACAACGTTTTGGCAAATCCTGGCCCTGCTTACTCACTAAATTACAATTTTGAATTGATTGAAGAGTGTGGAGTAAACAAGACCATGTGGCCATAGATAACTTAATAATTTCAGAAAGCAATTTTGAGTATTGAGGGAGAAGTGCTTCAGTTTTACCTGAAAGAAACTAAACTTTTGGACTACTTCATCAAAAGATTTCACGTCAAAGGATTTCAATTCACCATTTTATATATATCCACCCAAAGAACAAATTTCCTTTATCTACCAACAGATAGGGAGACTGTATTATCTGAAGTTATGGATTTGATTATAAAAATAAATCAGAATGTAGTTCAGCGATTGAGACTACACAGCTGGAATAGTTTATTCCTTGTCTCTCATGTGCTTTTGTGGAGAAGACCATTGAGCAATAACAATAAGAAAAAGATGTTGCGAAATTCATTCTCTGCATTTAACCCATCCCTCAAGGGAGTTGTGGGCAGCCGCTGTGCAGTGCCCGGGGACCAACTCCAGATGTTTATCAGTGTCTGGTCAAAAGGCACTGACTGGAGAACCTAACATGTTTTTGTCTCTAAGATTCAAGTCCAAACTCTTTATCCTCCGTTCTTGCTACTACATTTCTCCAGCATCCCCATATTCACTCATTCATCCCTTGGCTCGTTCACTACACTGGTTCTGTTTGAATCACACCATTCGTCAGATTTGGAGATTCAGGCCCGATTTTTGCTGCCTCTTTTGGAGATATTCCCATCTCCCATGTGTTTGTTTTCTAAGAAAACTTCAGAATGAAAGTGACGCAACTCATGAGGTGAGGTGTCATTGGTTTCATGTAGAGGCTCTTTTTTCATCGTGTTATGGTCTGCCAATAGTAATCAGACACAGTCTCACTGCACAGTGAGAGGCACTCTCATTACAAATCCTCGCCTCCCTGCATCTGCTATCGATTGTCTGTTTGTCAGGATATTTGAGAGAGAAATGTACCCATCTGAGAAAAACTGACCCACTCCCTAATACAGCAAAGAAAGGTTTGTCACTTTCTCATTGTGTATTGATCATGAAAACAAAGAGACTATTTTAGAGAAAATTACACAGGGTGTTGTGGGTGGAGAAAGAAGAGATGGAGGAAACACAACATGAAAAAACAAAAAAAAGACGTACTTGATTTTAGAAGTGTTTAAAAGTCAACACTAATGAGATACAACACTGTCAATCTCAGTTTTAAAGTTATATAATCTTGGAACAAAAAAGGTTTATTGTCACATTTATGTGGGGGATAGACATGAGTCAGCAGGACCACGTCTTATTCTGGCCTTTCTATCACACAAGAAGGGCAATATGCAAGACGTAAGTATAATGGCTCTTAGATTAAGTGGCCTCTTAAAATGATCACAGAAAAGGACAATCAATCTAACTAAACAGTGCTAGTACCGGCTAATGTAGCCTTGAGCCGCTAGCCTCAAGCAGAGAGTGCAGTGGTCTGGTAAGCTCTCTACTTCCTAACCCCACACCAATGGAATTTTTTCATTTTCAAACTTTTTGTGTTCAACCCCAACTGATGTTGACTCAAGTGACAAATTTTGCACAGATCCATCTGGAGCCACATAAGGCTTTATACAACTTTTTACACATATGCAGTAGTACTCTCCACGACTTATGGATGTTAATAAAAGTTTGTGTAAAATGGGTGTAGTTCCTTTTAAGTTTTTAAGTCTGATACAAGTCTACAGTTATGCTAGGCAGTAAACATCACCTGCCTGAAAGATCTGTCTTTACAGGGTTGTGTACCAAACACACGACCTTGTTCGTCACATTGTGAAGAAAGGTTGGCAGTAATCTAATGCTTGTGTAAGGCAGGTTGTTGGCATGACATCACAGGGTGTTTGCTGAAAATGTGTGAGTTCATGAAGCCTTCCCTCAATCTCCAAGGAAAAAATGAAGTATGAAAATATAGAAAAATTTGTTTTCACTAAGGCTCCAGTGACAGCCTCCCAGCCAGCCCAGTCCTCTGCAGCTTAGAGCTTCTCCCTGATTATGCAAAGCAGTGGCTGCCTGCTCAGGACACCTCGAAGCCACTCCGGGAGGTAAAGAGGCTTTTCTTTTTTTCAAGGGAGAGAGAACACAGGGAGAAAATGATGAATGTCAGGGCTTTCTAAGCTGTCTTTTCTTCTTAAGCCTGCAGTACCATCTTATGGCCTTAACTCTGTTTCTGCAAGATGTGGCAGCTGGTCGTAACTCAGTGGATAGATTCTATATAGTCGTGACTCGGCTAATTTAAGAAAGGGTAGATTTGGGATCACGGTGGGTGACCATGTGTGACAGCTTTGTCTGAGTCAGTTCGGAGTATACAGTGGGTTGCATCTGATAGATACAATACAAATTATATGAAAAGAATGCTGTGCTTACTTTACTTACACATTGAACTCAACAATTGAGTGCTTGAGAATTCAAAATTTGACTTTAAGGAATAGTTTGACATTTTGGGAAATAGGTTAATTTGCTTTGATGTCTGTACTTTAAATGTGGGGCTACAGCTTGCAGACGACAGATAGGAAACGCAGGCAACATCTTTACTGGCTCTGTCCGAAGGTAACTACTTAACAGGTTATTGATTGTTTGTTTAATCTTAAATGTTAACAACAAACTCTAGAAAGTCACTGCTCCCGAGAACCAAGAAATAGTCAGGCACATCACCCTGTGCTACACATCACCAACAGATGCAGGAAAAACAAAACTAGAAAAAACTGCTGCTACACTGCGCTCAAGAGCAACACATCAAAAACAAAAGTCATAAGAATCAATAACAAGAACAATGTACCAATAATCATAGATCATAACCAACTAGAATTGGCAGACAGCTTTATATAGCTTGGGAGCATAATTGCTGTGGACAGAGGAACCAAGGGAGATGGAAAGGCCAGAACAGCATTCAACATGATGAATAATATCTGGAAAACAAAAAACGTAGCACTTAAAATCAAACTGAAAATTTTTAATTCAGACGTCACGTCCATTCTGCCCGAAACATGGAAAATTACCACCAACATATAACAAACTACAGATATTCATCAACCACTGCCTTTGACGCCTGCTGAGAGTCTAAACAGAAGAAAAATTCCTAGAACCAACTGGAGAAGAAGAACAGAACAAGCAAATAAGGCTCAGGGGCTGTCATGGCAGCAACTGGTTTGAAAGGCATAAGACCAGTGAGGGTGGAAGGCTTTTGTCAATGGCTTATGCTCCTTAGGGAATATAAGGAAATATAAACAAACTAACCACCTGTAAATCCACATGTTGACCTGTTGACTTTTTTCCACGGATTAAAAAAGATATAATGTGATGACTAGTGAGCATGAGAGGTGCTGTTAGGCAGAATTTTTTTTACCTTCCAAACTCGCTGTTTCCCCCTTTTTCCAATTGTTATGCCAAGCTAGGTTAGCATGCTGCTTGCAGTAGTTTCATACTTAGTGTATAGACATGAGACTTAGATCTTCTCATCTCCTCTGCAAGAAAACAAATAACCAGCATTTCCCCCCCAAATACAAAATGTGTGTATTTGTTTTTCAGAATGCACAGTTGCCTGCAGCTGATTGCCAGTCAGGTGGATTAGGTTCAGTTTCCTCAAAGGCTCCTTGCCCTGGTGCTAGCCAGCCCACTGCAGAAAACACTATCCTTTCAGTGCTGGGATAGCAACAGCAATATTTTTATAATTGTGCAGGCTTTCAAGGTCTAGCTATATTTAATCTGTCACCATCAAGAGAGAAAGATTGTTGTATTATTCCTAAGTAACTTGAATCCTTCAAGGTAACCATGTTCTCTCCCTCTCTGTGTTTCTCCCCAGCATATGCATGAGGCTGTAGAGCTGAAGCGTCAGCTGCAGATAGAGCATGAGCAAGCCTTGGTGGCCCTTCACACCAAACAGAAGGAGATCAATCTACTGCAAAAGGTATGGCCACATAGATAAAGGCATAAAATAGAAAATTAGTATTTCTTAATTTGTATACTTTTGACATAACCCTCCTGGGTCATTGTAGCAGTGAAAAACTGAAGCTTCTTGTTCAGCAATTGATGTGTCATTAGCCAGTTTGTGCTGAATCACTGTCACTGAATTGCTGCTACAGTATCAGAAAATACAAAGGTCCAAAAATCTGAAGATTTTAGTAGAAATGCAGTTTCAGCTTGCAGCACCTTTCATATTGTTTGATAGTGTGATGAAGAGCCCTCTGCTAAAAATGCTGCCTTTCTAGTTGTTGATAAATTTATACACCTTGTGAACATCTTTCAGTGTGCAGACATGACTTTTTTTCTAGATGTTGCATTCTGTCAGGTACCTTTTTAAGATTGGGATATATTCTTCAAATAGCTTCACATATGAAAATTCCAATATCACAACACATGGATTTAAATTAGAAGTGCTTTTGATACTTCTGAGGCTTTTCAAATGTCAGATGTTAAATGATCTGTCTTACCTTTGTCTGTCCCAAATTTGTTGCTCAAATCAATGCTTGTGTCTTACACACACTCAATTACCTACATTTTTAATTGTTAAATTAACAAATATATAGTTTTTAAACATTTCAATTTCGGTTTCTTTGCTGCAGCATAATTTACTGCTAATTGTTTACACAATATACAAATGATGAAAACAAACAGCCCATTCAGGAACTTCTTATTCTAATGACTGATGTGTAAGTATTCCTAAAATACCTACTGGATTCGACCACTCAGGCTTTGATTTGATCATAAAAGAGCTGAATAGCGACTGTGAGGTTTTTCCTGTCGGTTGTTTGTATGTATCTGCTTATTGTCCGGTATTTGCATTGCTGTTTGTTCAAACAGAAACAATCAGTCATTAACAGGGAGAGTCAGGGAGAGTCATAAGTAATTTGTATAGTTACAAAGAGTTTTTGAATGTTGAAAACTTTACTTCTGCTACCAAGCCACCACTTAAATACTAATATACCCCAAAATAATATCTGTTACTGTTTATCAGCGCAATGCCATCAGGAGAAGGCATCTCTTCAAGTACCAGTGCTGTGATCAACCAGAGAGCTACTGTCAGGGTGTTATATGTCAACTGTGTGCTGTCTATTCTACCTCGTGGACTGTGATTACAGTGTCAGCTGTCATTGTGTGTTTCTGTGTGCTCTCTGCAAACTCAGGTTCAAGCTGACCAAGAGCATGAGGAAGCAGTACGTCTGTTAGAGGTATAGTAACATGAACAAACACAGATCTTTTACATCAGTGTTACTTTCTTAAATATAGTTTAAATCCGTTTTTAAGCAGATGAAATATAACAAAGAAAGCATCCAGGATGTTTCATATAGTATTAGCCATTTGTGGAATAAGGGGTCCTACAATGTCAACCTTATAAAACACAAAATTTTTATGTAGTTAAAAGTTAAATGTTTAAATTACCACTTTTAGAAGAAAATATCAAATGTCCGCTAACACACACAAAATATAATTTATTAGTCAAACAGATTTACTTCCTTTCCTTTGAGGCCAGTGTGTTCAAAATGTGATAAAAACTACTTACATGTGGCTGCTATTAAATGGTGTAACTGTCATTTCTGCAACACAGACAGAAAATGCATGTTTAGTCTCAAAAACAAGGAGAAAAACATTACAATTCACCCCATAGTGTCGGTTAGTTGTAACCTACCCGGGGGCGAAATCAAACTATATTGGAATATTATTACAATACATTGAATATTATTACAATACAACCCAACTTATTATCAGTTATAACTAACCCAAAATCTTGTAGCCATGAACTAGCTTACCTTACAGCTTACAGCTAAAACATTAGCACTAACAACTTGCTTAAAGGGGTATTATGGAGTTTCCAGCGGCCACTATCGGTGCGGTTTTAAGATTGCTACCAGGCGTGTGCTCGTACGCGTGCTCGCTTGAACTCACGAGTGAGCATAATCTGAAACAAAACCATTTTCATACAGAAATACTGCAATAACTGCAGGAACACCAGCATGCAGGCTGTGGCTTTTCACTCAGACATGTTCAGGCTCTGTTACTTCAAAGTTCCCATCTCAGAGGCAGATCAAGACAGGTGTCGTGCCAAGGTAGTTATCCCCGACAGAAAGTGTTTCCCCCTGCCGCAGGAGCGCGCGTGCATTCAGCGGTGAAGGCGGACCTTCGACTTCATCAAAGTGAATCAAAAATATACCATGTGGATTGTTTAATCTTTCGTTTTAGTATTGATTTATTAACGAGGTTTGTGTAGAAGAAGCTAGCACTTATACTTTATAGGCTTACGTTATGTGTTATTGAACTTAGTATTATTCATTGCACTCAATTGAGAATGTCTACACAAGACGAGCATTTAGTTTCACTCCTAAAGCAAACATTTATTTCGCGATAGTCTGGTGATGTTATAACTGACCACGTAGTCGATCGCTTTGTCATCCATGTTACTCTTTAGAAGCTAGATTCAGACAGACTTGTTCAAGAGTGGCTTGACACAAGGAATGCGACAGCTGAAACCCATGTCTTGCATACGTCTGTGCGTGGTGGTTCTTGAAGCACTGACTCCAGCAGCAGTCCACTCTTTCTGAATCTCCCCCACATTTTTGAAGCCATGGGCATGCCGTTGCCGGATGAGCAGGAGTCGGATGACTCCACTCTCTCCATCCACGGGTCTCTCCCCCAACCTTCAGTGGACGCTGGCCTCCATGGGGGTGACTCCAGCCTTGAGGGGACTCTCTCCGGAGATGTCTCCATCCAGCTGTCCGCCGCCACTTCCCTTGCAGTCTCGTGAGAGAGCTCCTTGCCATCATCCAGAGGGCTTCCGCCCACTGTCATCTGCTTGTTCCCCCGGCCCAAGACTTCGCTCCACCAGATGAAATGGCCGGCGTTCTCGCTCTTAGCCAGCTAGCTAAGCAGGATCCGGTCTGGCTGCGCCTGCCTCCCATTACCAGGAAAGCACTGCTATGGATTCCAATTTTCTCCGGGCTCCTGTCTCCACCTATGTTCCCATCAGAAGGTGGAGGGATTTACGTGCGAGCAAATAAATACACAGCTCAGCTTCTGTGTTTTGCTCTTGTATTGTTAGTTTTAAAAGAGAAGACACCACCCTTACTGGCCTTCTGTCATGTCAAGTCAACAAAACTAGTAGTTAACATAGTTAACGGCACTTGGTTAACGTTGTAAAACGGCGTAATTACTAACTACTTGTTTACTAAACTACTTGTTTATGTTTAGATCATGGTTTGGGTTAAAATAACGAGGTTACTTAACTTACGTAAGTTAAGTCACGTAACTTACATACCATAACTAAAAACAATCAATGTTGACTTTTTGTTTCACACTGGAAACAAACACAAACCCCTGGGTGGGTGGACAAAGTGTGTGTAGGTGTTTTTCTGTTAAGCAACACGAGGCACTCCTTAACCTGACTGTGTCCAGAACCTGTTGGAAAAACTCAGAGACTTAAACCTTCAACACCTGGCTTCTGTCATGTTTCTAGATCCTCTTTTAATGCAAGTTCCAAAAGAAACTTCTTTTTTTCTGAATGTATTTATGAGATGTATATTGTAGGAACATCATCAAGTGCCTGCCAGTGCCTTCTGCCCTGATACAGGTGGTGTGGCATAAATAATTGTACAGTACGCTGGCCTTTTCCTGCCCAGAAGTCATTGTTGTAATACCGTGTAGATTATTTAATACTCCGCATCAGTTTGTGTCTCATCCATGAGAGTTTAAAACAAACACAAGCTCAGCTTCTGTGTTTGCAGATGTGTTCTTTCCTCTCCCTTTCCCTTCCTGTAGGTTTTCTATTCTGTTGTTGTGTAAAAAATTACTCCAAACTTTTTTATCACAATACTTGCAGACTCGCATGGCCCATTAATCCTGCATCCAGGCTGACCTTGAATAAATTTCACTATGATCAAATCACTGACCTGCTGTGTTTCATCACAGTCTTTAAGATGCTTGTCACTGGCTCATCTACTCAAAATTATTTTCTCATTTCACTCTAAATCCTTTTGTCACGAAAGAGGGTGCAGACTCCTTTGAGTGTAGTTCAAGTGAGGTCATGTTATTATCCATCTGAAGCACTTTAATACGATTTTACTGAGCAAGCAGTCTGAGTTTGGCTCAGACAAACGTCAAGAGTTTAGTCGGAGAAATGGAAACTCCACTGTCAAGGAATTACTTCTCTTCTTGCAAATTCACTGAATTATTGTATTGTCTCTTAAACACGAATGTTTTTTTGCAGCAATGCCTCATGTTGAGTTTATTGAGAGCTTTTACTTTGAAAAGTTCTGAATGACATTCAAAAGAGATCTGGCCTGCTTGACACACCTCTGAAAAAGCCGTCAGTAAACGTGTGATTGGATTCCCCTGAATTTCCTTAGGGAAAAGGTTTATGAATGCGGATCAAATCAGACTTATATGCCAACCCCTGCTCTACACTAATGGGCAAACACACACTTTAAAACAGGTTCAAACAAAAAATCCTCTGCATTCTGTTTCCTGTGAAACCACACTCCTCAATCATTTTGTGTTGTTTTAGTTTGACAAACATATGTCTTTCTTTTTTACATCCTTTTACTTTCAGTTTGTGTTGCTTTTGCATATTTATCTGCACTGATAAATATATGATTGTTTTACATTCTTCTTTCCCTTCTTTGTATCAGTTATAATGGCATTTAGTGTTTTGTTCTTCAGTATGTTTTTTCTTTACATTTTTCTTCTTTCTTTACTTTTTTCTGTTTCCCTCCTTTTTGTCTGAACAGAACAATAAGGACAGAATGTTTCAGGTATTTATTTTCCTCCCTGATTAGCTTCTCCTTTCAGTTGCATGTGTGAATCACTAAAGCTTTCAAAGGCTTTAGTGGAAAGAACCCATATTGTACTGAATGAGATTGAGTACTACTATACTCACTGTGCACCGCATCCATCTTCCTTGACTTCCTCTGAAATGATATCTATGATATGACATCTTAATGTCTATACTGCAAGTTTTCTAATCCTCTTTTGCAGCACTCAGGCTTTTATCAGAGTTTAGCAGTGTTATGTATCAGCAGCTGCAGCAGTGCAGTTGACTATACCTCCATATGCTTTGATTAGACTGAAGTGATTTCACTATAACATGCTGCCATAGGCTCAAAAAGGGCTCTTTACTAATTGGTTCTTTATTTCATCAGCATTAATAGATACATTATTCGCTATTCTTCAGGGAATTCTTATCTGAACATTACTTGTGATAAAGCACACTCCATGCTTTGTGTGTTACACTATATTTCCTCTCATGTTTCACTCTTCACTTCTGTTCTCTTTGTTTTCTGTCAAAGGTCAAGGTTTGTGACCTGGAGCAGAAATGCAGGTCACAGAGTGAACACTACCACCAGCGGTCCAAAGAGCTGCTGAATTTCCATTTGCAATCAGATACTGTGGACCTTAAAATTAATCCCACATCCTTATCCCAGATCCCCGTCTCAACAGAGAAGGAACTCTCACAAGTCACCATTGGATTTGAAGCCCATCCTGAGGCAGGTGGGTCAGTGGTCTCAGCTCAAACAGTTTTGAGTAGTTGAAAAAAATATGTGGTTATATTTTATATATATTTTAATTTTTTATTTATATTTTACAATGTATGATCATGATTATTGTTATTATTAGCAGTATCGGTGTTTCTGATGGTTTATATCTATGATTGATGATTTTATATCTTTACTCAATGCTGAGTGTGGCACTGTGTGCTTTAGAGGGGACTCAATAGATTGCACATCACATCACATCATCTGTTCACAGGTCTTGGGGAGAACTATTGTATATGTAAAAAAAAGTTGTAGCTCCAGAGGGAGCTGCAGAAAATCTGATTTGAACATCAGGACTGTAGCCGCTACTTATCTCTTCTTGAAGCTAGCAGCTTGAGGCTACATTAGGCACTACTAACATTGCACTCCCAAATATCTGACCAAACTGTTGAGTTGCATTTTGGTTAATACTTATATTACCAGGTGTACGCAAGAAAAAAGAACTTGTGGAAAAATAAAAAAGGTGATATCTCTGGTTCTGCTGCATTAATCTTGACCTTTCATTTTTTTTAAACTGTGCATCTGTGCGTCTGACTATAGACGCACAGAGGCTATTATAGGAGTGCAATGCAAAATCAGTATAGTGAGATAATGTTACTAAGGCTAAGGGTGTTAAACGTCCCACTGCCAGTGGGGTCCACCCAATCTTAACGCTCTAGACAGTCCAGATAAAAGCATCCACCAAATTACATGTGATCAAAAGGCTTATGATCAGAATGAAACCAGAGCCAGAGTGAGATAATCCCCAGACAACTCACATTATAGCTGGACCAGCTCACTCCTGACCAGAGCTGGACATCGTTAATGGCAATACTGCTTATTCGTGATCAATATCTACCCTAATTGATCACAGGCCTGATGTATGACATGACTGTTGTTTAAAACATTAGTATTCACACATAGTGCAACCTGCAGAGCCAGCAGATACAGCGATGTAGATTTATACAGTCTGGCACAGACCAGAGGTCTTTGAAGCGCTGGCAATCCTGTTTTATCTTTCTCTTCACTTGAAACAGACTCACTGATGCTTTTGTGCTAATGCATAATATTACTCACTCACGAACCACAAGAACCCACTGATACAGTGGATCCATGTTGTTGACTTACTTTAATTTCCTTAAGGAATTCAGTTGTTCGCACTCTTAGACTGCAGTTTTCTGTTTTGTATTTCCTGCATTTTCTTTCAAGTGTGTTTTTTCCCCAGAGGACCTGAGTGGTATTTAAGGACGAATGCATTGCAGATGTGAGGTGTTGATGGGGGTGGAATAGCCTTTGCCATGAAGAGTGTTTGCTGTACACTCGCTTCAACAGGAGATCAATAGCTGTGCAATGAGCAGCAAATGGGTGCAGAAGAATGACAGTTGCTCTTTATTTGCTATGGAAATCAATGTCTCCCAGGCGATGAGAGCGCGGCAAACACGCCGCTTCTGATCTCCCAGTTCTTGCCCTGCATACCACAGACTGGAGACAGAGAAAGACCAGAACTGCTGTCTGTCAAATTCAGCCCCGTGAAAACGGACCGCCCCAGCAGCCCTCGAAAGCTGACCCTGTTAGAGGTGGGTCTCCACATCACTAAATTCAATCACATTAATGCATGGATAACTTATCATGTCTTTAAGACAGCCTTAAGTTTTCTCCGTTCTCCACATTACCCTGGTTAGGTTGACCTATATAGTTATATATTCAAACTTAATGGTGTACTTTGCTTACTCTTGGGTTGAATCTTAATTATGAATAGTACATGTAAACGTGAATGACATTTATCTCTGGTTATGTAGATGGAGGATGAGGTCAGCCCATCACCCAGGTCCAAGCCTCGCTACACAGGCCAGGTCCGCCTTTGCACTGCCCGTTACAGGTGAATAACACCAGCGACAGTAATCTGTTGATTTTATTGGACATAATCTTTTTAAGTTTACCAACTAAGAGCACCTTGATTTACAAATGAATGAAAAAGGAAAACTAAAAAAGTGAACATTTCTCCTTTCAGTTACAACCCTTATGATGGACCGAACGAGCATCCTGAAGCAGAACTACCCCTTGTGGCTGGAAAGTATCTGTACGTCTATGGAAACATGGACGATGATGGCTTCTATGAAGGTGAGAAGTAAAAGACGCTATTTCAATATTGCAGTCAAAACATCAAATATTACAGTACAGCAGTAGGTGTCCGTTTTTGCTTTTCTAGGTCTATGATTTTGCCTGAGTGCCTGTCTGCTGCTGTAGCAGAGAATGCTTGACAAGCACAACAAGCGTGTGCATCATTGCGTATTAATTATCTCACAATGAGACAAAATGCCAAGAAGTGTTTGTCAGCGCACAATCATGCCCCAGTGGCTTTGCTCTATGTACAGTATTCTATGTGCCATTTAAATCCCTTCAACAGTCTAAAATGACCGTGTTTTTTAAAGCATTGACTATTATAGGACAGTATTGTATATTGGGTATATGTAAATTGTTGTATATGCACAATGACATTTATTACAAGCTGTCCATGACATATATTGTTCCCTTCCAAGTCACTTTTCAGTAAATTTTGGTGACTTTGTACTGTATGTGTGAGACAGACTCAATCTTCATTGTAAACACTGCTACAAAGGTGGCTTTTGTTGGGTTGCATGAAAGTTGCAGTATGTCTGTCATATCCCTGCTGGTTATTTTCACCTTGTGAACTCACCTATTCTTTGTCAGTGAAGTGTGTCTGTATTTGGCCATGGTTTTCAAGAATGTTCCCTTTGAGATATCAGATCATTTTGCGGTCATTTGATGTTAGTTTTTGATTGATCGATCTTCAGATTGTCAAATGTCGGTTTGAAAGCTCAAATATTAAAGTTGCCCACCTTTGTATCAGTATTAGTTACTTTAAAGTTTTGTCCACTAGGGGATTACATTATTTTGGCTACACCTGCATGTAAGCATAAGAAGAAATCCTGTACACTTTTTTCTTACTGGTGATTGGAGTGACTCGCTGTCTAATCTCTTCAGAATTATGAAGCCTTCTCCATCAGAGGCAATCCTAATCCCCCTAGCTAGCAATCCTGCAGACAGCCTGCTACAGACACAGTAGTACTCAGCTGCAGTGATTCATTAGCTGTGGGCGGTGAGATTGCATGACATCGTGGAGGAGCCTTGTATTTACCATGCAGGAGGGAGACTTGGGCCTCAGACCAAGCTGTTGTCAAGATGGGACCTTGGTCCCTTTTAGCTTGATGACTAATCCAGCAGGGCTCAGCTTAATCATCAGCACACACAAACAACACGCACACTCACCCACACACAAATACGCAGAAATACACATATGGTCTTATGGTCTCCAAGGCCCCTGTGGAAAAAGGGATTGAAGGACGGGACAAACTTCTTCCCTTTGGGAAAAAAAAACACATTGTGCAACTCTATATTGGGTTTTTTTCTGCATTGACCGCAGCATCTGCATACTCAGGGGTGTTCCTCGAAAAGTTCAAAAGCAGTGATCTAAAGTTCAAGTTCTTTGAAATGTTGAAAAGGGGTGTTTTCCCAGTTCTGTGTTTAATGGAGAGAGTTTAAAAGACAGCATCAGAGAACCTGTGGTTCATCTTGCATCATAGGGAATAGAACATACGTTTACATATCTCCCCTCTCTCACTCACTGACTCATTCCCACCCCACAAGGAAAATAGCTCTTACTGATGATTATGTGTATTCAAGTTACAGCTTTCCTTTTGTTGTCTTGGAAGGAGCCATTAGTGAAGCCTAATTTTAACATTTGCAGGAGGCATCACAAAGGGACTGTTGTGATTTCCTGTAGAGACAGTTGCTTAAGGGTAGTATTTTTAGGTAGTTGGCATTAGGCTTTTTGTTCGTCAACATAAATACGAAGAAGGATACACAAATTTATTATCTTCTACACCTGCATTTCTACTTCTTTCTGTGTCACAGGGGAGCTGCTGGATGGCCAACGAGGACTTGTTCCTTCCAACTTTGTGGAATTTGTCCAGGATAAGGAAAAACTAGCAATTCAGTGTGGGGATGGAGGGGAAGACCTGGGCACACTGGACCATGCACCCCTGGCCTTGATGGCAGTGGATGGAGGTGCCTCCCAGGATGGCCTCCTGGGATCAGCTAACGCCTTGGTTCCCTGTAGCAATGGGACAGGGGGGCCTCTGGACCTTGAGGACCTGGCTGAAGATGTTGTGCCTTATCCCAGAAAGATCTCTTTGATCAAGCAGCTGGCACGGAGTGTCATTGTGGCCTGGGAGCCTCCACTAGTGCCTTTGGGCTGGGGGAGCATCTCTGGCTATAATGTGTTAGTAGACGGGGAGCTTCGTGCCAGCATAGTGTACGGTGGGCGGACGAAGTGTTTGCTGGAGAAGCTGGACCTGGACGGCTGCGTTCATCGTGTGTCGGTCCAGAGTGTCACGGACCGGGGCCTGTCAGATGAGCTGCGCTGCACCGTGCTGGTGGGAGCCAACGTGGTGGTGGCACCGTGTGGTCTGCGGGTGGATGACATCCAGCGTGACACTGCTGAACTCTCCTGGTTGCCTAGCAACAGTAACTATGGCCACACCGTGTTCTTGGACGGGGTAGAGCATGCAGTGGTAAAGCCAGGAAGGTATAGACTACGGTTCCTCAACTTGAAGCCCCTGACAGTGTACAAAGTGACGGTGGTGGCACAGCCGCACCAGGTGCCATGGCAACTGCCGCTGGAGCAGAGAGAGCGGAAAGACGCTGGTGTGGAGTTCTGCACTCAGGCTGCAGGTCAGCAGAGCTCATTTCTATACATAGAGATACTGTATCAATAATAATGCTATATCAATTTTTAGGTTACTGTACTGTGCTGTAGAAGAGTACAGTACAATGCCTTACCATGCCACTGTTGTGTATTGTATTTTGTCTAGGTCCAACACCATATTGCAGAACAGGTCAGAATGAAACATCAGTCCTGGGCTGGGTTTCTCATATTCTGTATCTTGGCGCTAAATGATTTACTTCTGTTCAAAACCAATGGGCAGAGATGACATTAGTACTATGATACATTTGGAAGAGGGTTATAGTCATGAAACTGAGACAGAGTATGGTATATTGTTCAAGATAAGCAATCAATTAAGGGATCTGGGCAAAATGGCATTTTTTATGGTTCAGAGATTAAAAAACATTTTCTATCAACAAACAATGTTGTCATTCACATATAGTTTGAAATTTAAACACACAGTTTTTAAAACCAAATTCAAATGCAATTTTGCCCAAGTTTGCTTACTGCACTGAGCACATCACTAATTAGAGAACAGCCACGCATCACAAGATATGATCCTTAATTATTCTGATGAGTCATTTCCTCAGCCTATAGTCTAGCCTTTAGTAACCAGTGCTATATAAAGCAGTGCCACTCCACTGAAATCACCATTTTGTATGAGTGTGCATTTGCTTCTGTTTGAATGCGGTTGTGCATGTTTTATCTATTGATCAAGGAGAGCGGAAGACAAAGAATGGGCTGTGGTCAGACTCTCTGGATTGTGTCCTGCATGCAGAGACAACTGTGCTTCTCCCAAGAGGCACAGAAGCGCACATTGTTTTATGTTTTATGTTCCTTCATTTTTTTTCTTCTTTCATAAATAGTAGTACAGGGGTATGGTAGTACCAGACCAGAGGAGTGCAATCTGAACATATAGTTCTGAAAATATTTTGAAAAAATACTGCTACATTAAGAGGATTAAATTTTTCAACTCAGTTTATTTGAAGTATCTTATATTAGACAATGTTAGTGTAGCAGCTTATTAACTTATTAAATTCCATTTTATAAACACAGCACAAAACTACTTCTTAATGTCCCCCACTAGCAATGTCACAAATATCCCCATGAACTGTATATCTCTACAAAGTCTAAATAAGGTGTTATGTAATTCTTTCCCAAATTTAGATATGCAGGGCAAATTATGAATTAACCGAGTTGTTTCCTGAATCCTCCCACCACTTCACCCCCTCCCTTGTATGTTAGCATTTCCGTGCATGGTTGTGTGTGTGCCATTTTGTGCATTTGAGGAATGCTTCCCACCCTTTCCTCTTGTTTATATATTAGTGATTTTAAAATAGTTCAAAATATTAATTAATATATACATTTAAAAAAAAATGTTTTCCTTTTACTTGTTCTTTTACCCTCCAGGCCCTCCCCAGCCTCCCCAAGATGTACAGGTGCACTGTGGGCAGGCTCCAGGAATCCTACAGGTCCGCTGGAAGCCCCCTGTCCTCTCTCCCACGGGCACATCTAATGGGGCAAACGTTGTTGGCTACGCAGTCTGCACTAAAGGACAGAGGGTGAGTTAGCAAGAGTTAATATTACTGACCAACACTACAGCATCTCACAAAAGTGAGTACACCCCTCACATTTTTGTAAATATTTGATTATATCTTTTCATGTGACAACACTGAAGAAATTTGTTACACTTTGCTACAATGTAAAGTAGTGAGTGTAAGGTTGTATAACAGTGTAAATTTGCTGCCCCCTCAAAATAACACATCACACAGCCATTAATGTCTAAACCACCGGCAACAAAAGTGAGTACGCCCATAAGTGAAAATGTCCAAATTGAGCCCAATTAGCCATTTTCCCTAGCGTGTCAGGTGTGAATGGGGAGTAGGTGTGTTAAATTTGGTGTTATCGCTCTCACACTCCCTCATACTGGTCACTGGAAGTTCAACATGGCACCTCATGCCACAGAACTCTCTGAGGATCTGAAAAAAAGAATGGCTGCTCTGCATAAAGATGGCCTAGGCTATAAGAAGATTGCCAAGACCCTGAAACTGAGCTGCAGCACGGTGGCCAAGACCATACAGCGGTTCAACAGGACAGGTTCCTCTCAAAACAGTCCCCACCATGGTTGACCAAAGAAGTTGAGTGCACGTGCTCAGCGTCATATCCAGAGGTTGTCTTTGGCAAATAGTGAGTGCTGCCAGCATTGCTGCAGAGGTTGAAGGGGTGGGGGTCACCCTGTCAGTGCTCAGACCATACGCCGCACACTGCATCAAATTGGTCTGCATGGCTGTCATCCCAGAAGGAAGCCTCTTCTAAATATGATGCACAAGAACGGCCGCGAACAGTTTGCTAAAGACAAGCAAGCTAAAGACATGGATTACTGGAACCATGTCCTGTGGTCTGATGAGACCAAGATAAACTAGGTGAGGTGTACAAAGACAAGTGTGTCTACAGTCAAGCATGGTGGTGGAAGTGTCATGGTCTGGGGCTGCATGAGTGCTGCTGGCACTGGGGAACCATGAATGCCAATATGGACTGAGACATAGCAGAGCATGAGCTCCTCCCTTTTGGAGACTGGGCCGCAGGGCAGTATTCCAACATGATAAGACCCCAAACACACCTCCAAGACAACCACTGCCTTGCTAAAGAAGCTGAGGGTGGTGGTGGACTGGCCAATCGTGTCTCCAGGCCTAAACCCTATTGAGCATCTGTGGGGCATCCTCAAACGGAAGGTGGAGGAGCATTAGGTCTACAGAATCCATCAGCACCATGATGAGTGGAAGAGGACTCCAGTGGCAAACTGTGAAGCTCTGGTGAATTCCATGCCCAAGAGAGTTTAGGCAGTGCTGGAAAATAATGGTACATACATACAAAAGCCATACAAAATATTGACACTTTGGGCCCAATTTGGACATTTTCACACTGCGTTTTAGACATTAATGACTGTGTGATGTGTTATTTTGAGGGGACAGCAAATTTACACTGTTATACAAGCTGTACACTCACTACTTTACATTGTAGTGAAATGTCATTTCTTCAGTGTTGTCACATGAAAAGATATAATCAAATATTTACACAAATGTGAAGGGTGCACTCACTAGCTCACTCTGCGAAAAGGTATCTTGGGTTGAAGGCATCAGTTATGATTAGACTTTAAATTGACTTTGTACAGTATTATGTTACCTTGGGAAAAATTTTTTGATAATTCACAAGCATATGGGTTCCATGTTTGCACATGTGTACATGTAGTACACAAATAACGTATGTAAAACACTGTGTGAGTTGTTTAATCATATCGAATCCAGCTGAAACATGATAACATACATCACAGATGGGACTGTAATAGCCTCTGAACTCTCTGAGGATCTGAAAAAAAGAATGGCTGCTCTGCATAAAGATGGCCTAGGCTATAAGAAGATTGCCAAGACCCTGAAACTGAGCTGCAGCACGGTGGCCAAGACCATACAGCGGTTCAACAGGACAGGTTCCTCTCAAAACAGTCCCCACCATGGTTGACCAAAGAAGTTGAGTGCACGTGCTCAGCGTCATATCCAGAGGTTGTCTTTGGCAAATAGTGAGTGCTGCCAGCATTGCTGCAGAGGTTGAAGGGGTGGGGGTCACCCTGTCAGTGCTCAGACCATACGCCGCACACTGCATCAAATTGGTCTGCATGGCTGTCATCCCAGAAGGAAGCCTCTTCTAAATATGATGCACAAGAACGGCCGCGAACAGTTTGCTAAAGACAAGCAAGCTAAAGACATGGATTACTGGAACCATGTCCTGTGGTCTGATGAGACCAAGATAAACTAGGTGAGGTGTACAAAGACAAGTGTGTCTACAGTCAAGCATGGTGGTGGAAGTGTCATGGTCTGGGGCTGCATGAGTGCTGCTGGCACTGGGGAACCATGAATGCCAATATGGACTGAGACATAGCAGAGCATGAGCTCCTCCCTTTTGGAGACTGGGCCGCAGGGCAGTATTCCAACATGATAAGACCCCAAACACACCTCCAAGACAACCACTGCCTTGCTAAAGAAGCTGAGGGTGGTGGTGGACTGGCCAATCGTGTCTCCAGGCCTAAACCCTATTGAGCATCTGTGGGGCATCCTCAAACGGAAGGTGGAGGAGCATTAGGTCTACAGAATCCATCAGCACCATGATGAGTGGAAGAGGACTCCAGTGGCAAACTGTGAAGCTCTGGTGAATTCCATGCCCAAGAGAGTTTAGGCAGTGCTGGAAAATAATGGTACATACATACAAAAGCCATACAAAATATTGACACTTTGGGCCCAATTTGGACATTTTCACACTGCGTTTTAGACATTAATGACTGTGTGATGTGTTATTTGAGGGGACAGCAAATTTACACTGTTATACAAGCTGTACACTCACTACTTTACATTGTAGTGAAATGTCATTTCTTCAGTGTTGTCACATGAAAAGATATAATCAAATATTTACACAAATGTGAAGGGTGCACTCACTAGCTCACTCTGCGAAAAGGTATCTTGGGTTGAAGGCATCAGTTATGATTAGACTTTAAATTGACTTTGTACAGTATTATGTTACCTTGGGAAAAATTTTTTGATAATTCACAAGCATATGGGTTCCATGTTTGCACATGTGTACATGTAGTACACAAATAACGTATGTAAAACACTGTGTGAGTTGTTTAATCATATCGAATCCAGCTGAAACATGATAACATACATCACAGATGGGACTGTAATAGCCTCTGTTGTTGAGTTAGCATTATGTCATCAGTGCCCTCAGTGCACGCAGCAGTGCCACCTACTTGTGATTCATGTTCAGTGCAAGACTCTCAATCTGGGTCCTGTGAATGTCTTAGAGAGGTCTCTCACTCCCTCTGGTGACTGCCAAAGTAAATCAACACACTATTCTGAAAGTTTGATAGCACAATGTTTTCTGCCTTAATATCCATCCATCCATCCATCCATCCATCCATCGTCAACCGCTTATCCTGCATGCAGGGTCGCGGGGGGCTGGAGCCTATCCCAGCTGACATCAGGCGAAAGGCGGGGTACACCCTGGACAGGTTGCCAATCCATCACAGAGCCACACATAGACAAACAACCAACATTTGCCTTAATATATCCTTCACAAACTGGCACAACAATGAAAAATGTGTGTTGGTTACTGAGAACAAAGACAACTACTACTACTACTAACCATTTTCAAGAACATGTTAGTGTTGGAGTCTTACAAGTAGTGGGGCTGAAACATTGTCCTGAGGGTGGCACAAGAGGAAAGAGTATTAGGTCTCTAGACATTTCATTAAAATTGGATGCATCCTAAAGGGGTGTGATCATGTTTTCACCTCTGATGTATTGATTATGATACTGATGTTTCCAGGTGTTAAAAATGATTATGAAGCTTCTGTTGATGTTAACACTTTATTTTGTCTTTGTAAATCCAGATTGCTGAGGTGTTGTACCCAATGGCAGACTACGTTACTGTTGAGCTGACAAGGATTCAGTGCCTGGAGGCCAGGGAAGTCATCGTAAGGACGCTGTCAGTACAGGGAGAATCCCAGGACTCCCAAGTCGCCGTCATTCCAAACAACCTGCTCGTGCCTCTACCTGCGCTTCCCCTGCCACCACCAATGCACCCCCACGCAGGCCCCCCTCCACACCCTCATCCTCAACCCCACCTCCAATCCCCTCACCTGCCTCATGCCACACCCCAACTTCCTCCTCCACCCCAGGCACTTGGACAACCACATCCTCCACACCCTCAACCCCATCCCAGACTTCCCCATCCAGGTGGACCCACGCAACCCATGCTTCGACCCCCACATCCTCAACCCCAGCCCCTACATCTTCAGCCTCACCCGCCCCACCAAGGTCCCAGGCCCCAGCACCAACTGCCTCTGCTACCCCATCCCCAACACCACCCTATACCTCAGAGACCAGTATGTGCCAGAGACCTGGATGCCAAAGAGCACGCGACCCACCACGGGGGAGCTATTCCACCTGGCCAGCCTGGCTGGGACCCCACACGCTCTCCCTCTTCCCAGCCTCCTGTGCCAACGCAAGGCCACACCCTTGAGGCCCCGCCCCCTCCCAATCCGCGCTCCCCATCCCCCCAGAGGATTCTTCCGCAGCCACGGGGCACGCTTATCCCGGACACTGTGGCCAAAGCTATCGCCCGAGAAGCAGCGCAGAGGGTGGCAGCAGAAAGTGGCAAGGTCTGATGAAAATGTAAAATGTAAAAAACGATATTTAGATTCTTATGACTTTTAGTATGTCTGTGAAGGTTCTCAGTTATCCAGGTCATAGTTATCCAAGGGAGGTTAAAATCAAGCGAAACTGGACTTTAAGGCATTTTGTCCCTCATCCGAGAGACTTCTTCAGATATGGTAGAGAAACTCAGCTATTTAATCTCTGTGGGGTTGTTGTCAAGATGATCAATACTGCTGGTTCGTTAGTGTTCCTGGCTGTTGTAACGACAGTCCTTTTGGTCGAGGCCAAGTCTGAATGACCATTGTTGGCATCTTCACCTGAGTGGGGGAGAAGTGGTGTCGCAGTGTATCTTCAACCAAGTCCAGTTGCCCTTGATTTTAACCCTTCCTTAGATGACAAGGACAGAGCAGAATGCTTTGTTGAATTAATAAAAACTATAAAGATCAAGTTCTCATCAAATACAATACAATAATGAAATGCCGCTGTCCTCCCCCTGTTCCTCACAATCCTCACTTATCATGCATGTTTTCAGGGGGACAGGAGGCAGGGCAGATACGGAGAGCAGGGTCATTCATTTCCCCAGCATCACTCTGATGAGGAAGAGGAAGATGAAGAAGGCTTTGTGCACGGCCGACGGAGAGGACCCTCCGTTGATGAGTTCCTCAGAGGCTCTGAGCTGGGGAGGCCGGTAAGAACAACGTGAAGAGTCATGGATCTTTTCCCTTCTTTTGAACACCAGCCCCAATGTGTTTTTAAATACAAAGCCTCTTACGTGTGTGTATGTTTGGACGCGTGTGTGCGCGCACGCATGTCTGAGTGGTTGCATGCATACACTCCTTTGCCCGTGTCTCTGTGCTGTGTTCATGTGCGTGTGTTCGCCCATCCATGTGTGTTTGGTGTGTGCATGTACGTGTGTGTATGTATGTATGTGGACTTAAACAATTGCGTCTGTGTGTTTGTGTTTGTGTGTGTGACTGCCAAAAGCCTCACTATAGTCACAATGAAGATTATCACAGCGAAAGCAGCCGGGGCTCTGACCTGTCTGACATCATGGAAGAGGATGAGGAGGAGCTGTACTCTGAGATGCAGCTGGAAGAGGGACGCCGACGCAACTCGCACAACACACCCAAGGTGCAGTTCTTTGCACTTATTCTAAAACCCAAGAGTCATAACCACCCAAATTTATTATTATTTTGTGAACTGCACAGGCACAGATACTTCAATTGAGACTGCTGCCTTGACTTGCATTTGATATGTGTTGTTAGTGTGTGTGTGCTGAGTTTAGTTCAAATTTATAGAAAAATAAAGAGAAAATAAACTGGGTTTCAGCACCATGGAGAGAAACAGAGAGAGAAAGACTGGGCTTTGAAGCTTTCAGGCAGCATTTCAACATATCAGTGAAGCGAAACGGTACTGGAGCAACATCTTCACAATCCAGTGTGAATAAGTGTTTGTGATATAAGTTATTATATCATATTGCTAACCATTTTAAGATGCAATCCTCTCTATTTAGATGGGTTGAGATTATGCTAGGTGGATAGCAGCAGGATACGCGTATGGTACAGGCTATCAGTAGGATCGAAGAAAGCCTGGAGCCACGTTGCAGATTCAAAATACAGAACATTGATGTCGCCAGGCTGCAGCCACAGCGGCACCCCCCTGCTGTCTGAAAGCACCTTTAATGTTTCGGCACCATGGAGAGAAACAGAGAAAGAAACCGGGTTTGAATGTGTTGAGCAACTTGGAGAGACGCACAGGTGGAGGCTTGGTTTGAACAGTTTAGTGGCGTGAAGGGAGACAACACATTTCTTTTTAAAAACATTTGAATTCAGTAGTGTATTATCAGTATTTACTTAATTTGGAATGTTAAAATTTCCCGTGGGCTTGTGTGTGTTTGAGTGTGTGTCTATGCGTTTGTGTTTCAGTGTGCCTGCCTGTGAGTGCTGCATGATTTTGTTTACATACAATTTGTACGAGTATGTCGATGTGCTTTGTTTCACATATTGTTTGTGACTATGTCCGCGTGTCTGTGAGCAAGAATGTTTAATGTTTGTGAATGTCTTCTGTGTTTATGTGCGTTTCAGACGAACACTCCGGCTGGAGGCCGTCATGACCGTGAGACCGGGAGAAGAATTCATCATGGCGGCTCCCAGCCTCAGAGACGACCTCTAATGGTCCCCTCCATTGGTCAGTATAGGCAGGGGGCTAGAGAGAATGGAAGGGATAATTTTGATGTTTTTATGTGGAACAGTAGTGTTTGTTGCCCTGGTAGAACCTTCATGAGCTTCTCTGTGTCTCCAGATCACCTCTGTGTCTATGAATCATGCTCATGCTCTTCACTACTTGGAACACAAGTTTGATCTTGTATAGATTATTATGATGCAACAAGCTGACAGTTTTCTTAAACTGCTGCGCACAGATGCACTACCCATTGATGCGTTAGTCTACTCTGATAAAGAATCTGACAAGCATGACGGTTTTATCATAGTTCCTTTCCTGTGTGTATTTGGGATTACCTTTTGTCTAAGCAATAAGAAGCTTTAGGTGGCACCACACATCTTTAGTTGACTTTTTGGGAGGGGAATGTTGAGCTTTGCATTGTAACCCCATCACCCTCTAACTGGTGTTTCCTGTAGAGGTAACCTCTGAGAATAACAGTGAGGGAAACCTCTCCCCAATCAACGAGGATGTTTACTATGGCAGAGTAGCTCGGCACAGGACGTGGTCATCCCGCAGGCACATGGGCGGCACCAGGTCTCCCCATGGTATGTGCCTGCAGTCCTGTTTTTTACCACCACAGCATGGCAACAACATTGCCACCAGCAACTGGCAAATGGCACGACGTAGCTGTGGACACTTGCAAGTGCCTGTTTTTCTGTCTGAAATAATAATAGCTATTATTATGCTTACAGTTGAACAGCATGACCGCACTGCACTGAAATGGTGGACCCTCTGGCAAGCCATACCTGGGGTCCAGGATGAACGTTTCCACAGTTGCAGATGATAAATGATTGATTGACTGCACAGAGAATGCCTCACTCACTGCACTGAACTCCAGATGCCTGCTAACCCCGTTCCCTTCGTGGTGCAACCACACTACTACACATAATGAGAGCAGTCATGCATGAGATTTTGAAGAAATATTAGTGGTAGACATTAAAGAATGACTACACATTCACTGCTTTGTTGTTTTCTTTAGACGTTTGAGTTTCTTTCTATATTGGAGTTTGAAATATCAGCTGTTGGAAATGCAGTTGTTCCTTTTTTTCCCTTCCTGGTACCACGTCGATACAGTAAACCCTCTGTAGGTCGGCATATGCTCACCTGGGAGCAATGCATTTCACATCATGCTTGTATTTTCAAGCACCAAAATAAAGCTTTGGCCCAGCAGTATCACACTTTGCTAGCTGGTGCATTTTCCAAATATTGCAATGCCAGATTGAAATAAATGACAGGCTTCCACAACAACTCTGCCATCTCTGCTTTGGACCTCTTGCTGCTACAAGGGTTGGCAATTTGTGGGAAGTTTTAGATTTTTGCTTTATACCTTTCACTTTTGTTTTTATATGAAGTGAAAATAGAGTTGGAGGTGTATCTTTATCTTTAGGTGCATTTTTTTAATTTACTTTTCATAGCGTGCATGTCAGAGTCTTGTGTCTTTCTGGTGTTGTGTCACATCCACGAATCACAAGCTGTATTTTGCACAATGGTTTGTCTTGCTCCCCATTTGTCTCACTGTATATTCAAATGTAAAAACAAAACAAAATGTAAAAATATGTGCGCAAGTGTGTGTCTGTGGGTGCATGAGTGTGTGTGCTACAGTAAATGGTTTAAATAGTTGACTGACCACAGATTTCTTCCTGTGTGCTGACAGGTACAAATATGACTAAACAAGAAAATCAAATCTGTCACGCAAAACTTCCTGATCAAATCAATAAGACTTGCATAAAACAATCCCCTCACTGATTTCCTGTGATTGATGCATGGCGAAGGTGCATCACTTTGTGAATATATGAACTTGCTTATCATAGTAGTTGTAAATGTTTTTTGCAGCAAGTTTTGTCACCAAATGCATTTCAAGATTTTCTCTTCAAGTCAAAAATAAAACTGACGTTTGCAAATTTGAAACATTTCTGCAAAGAAACAGAAGTCTCCTCCAAAGTGTGTTGCATCACATTCATTTGTTGTTTCTATTTAGTAACACAGGATGATGTACTTTTTTTTTTTTTGCCTTCACTGTGTTCAAGATGGCTACAGGGATCGGGATCGCCGCTCTCCCACGTACTATGATGAGTCAGAGCCAGAGGAGTCCTTCCGCATCTTTGTGGCCCTCTTTGACTATGATCCTCTGTCCATGTCCCCCAACCCAGATGCAGCTGATGAGGAGCTGCCCTTCAAAGAGGGGCAGATCATTAGGGTGGGAGTTTACAATTAAGATCAGAAACTGATGTACTGCATTCCTGATTATTCTGTCTTCCTCTGTGCATTTATTTTGTCTGTAAGGTAAATCCAATTCCAAACTATAAGGTACTAGTTGCTGCATTCCATCAACAGACCATTAGTTGCAGTAACTACAGAAAGTATGTATTCATTCTATACTAACAATTCTCATACAGCCCTCTCAGATTGAAGCAGGGCTGTGTGATATTCACTTTAGTCATAAACAATGATATAACTTTGCATAAATTGTTTTGGAATTTACCTTTAAAATAGGAAGAGGAAAATAAAATTGCATATGCCACTGAACATCTAGCTACTTAATCTACAGCATATCTGAAAAACATGTAACTCACTGGCACGATAGTCCTGCAGTCATCTTCAGAAATTTTTCTGAAGGGACCTCCGTTCACTGTAAATGAGGTATAGCACATGTTTTAAAGCAGAAGCTCTAAACATCAGTCTCTTGTCTTAACAGGTGTATGGCGATAAAGATACAGATGGGTTTTACAGAGGAGAAGTGAGGGGCAGGATGGGGCTGATACCCTGTAATATGGTGTCAGAAATACGAGCGGAGGACGAGGAGACATTGGACCAGCTCATCAAGCAGGGCTTCCTGCCGCTCAGCACCCCTGTGGACAGAATAGGTACTATGCAAGCATACTCTCTCTCATGCACAAGTAAAGATGTGTGGGCTGAACACACAGTTATGGAAGTCCTTTAGAGTCAGTGGGGTTGAAAAGTTTGAAAAAGTGGATAAAAACACAAGATGAAATACTTTCTGTTAAAATGCCATCTATTATTGCTTCCAGAGCAGAACAGAAGAGGTCTCCGTCGAGATCAGGCCTCGAGGAGGATGGTGGCTCTGTACGACTATGACCCCAGAGAGAGCTCCCCTAATGTTGATGTGGAGGTATCCCTGACTGCTGAGGAGCCCTTGCTGAGCACACACATACTTAGAGATTCAAGGAAGAGCTGTATCAGAGGATAACCACATAAACAAATAAGGGCACAACAGATTAAGTCATAGTGGACTTCCTTGTATATCCCTTTCTGTGTCTTTATCTCTTAATAGGCTGAGCTGACCTTCTGTGCTGGTGACATTATGGCTGTCTTTGGAGATATTGATGAAGACGGATTCTATTATGTGAGTGTTTCCTTTTGGCAGAGCCAGGCTAGCCAGCCTTTATGTAAAGCTAAGCTAACCTGCTGCTGTTTGCTTCATATTTCACACACTTACATGAGAGTGATATCAATCCTCTCATTAAACTCTCAGCAACTGAGTCAATAAGCATATTTCCCAAAATGTGAAACTAATCCTTTACAGGCCTTTCCTGGGGATTAACAGCAATGTGTCCAGATGTTTGCACATTGATTGATTACAGGCAGGGCCATGGTGTCAAACAAACTTTAATTTAACAAATCAGAAGATGGTGAGTCTGCAAATTAATAATTTTGAAACAGACAAAAAGGTCTAGGGAGTGGCAGTAAATTTTGCTGTCTAAACTCTGATTTTGGAGAACAAAGAGATAAATTAAATGATCCGTTATAGCCCTGAGGGGATCATCAGAAATTAGAGCCTAAACAGTGCATATGCATGACATGTTGCATACACTGTCAAATACAGTACATCATTTTCAGCCACTTGTGGCTCTGACAGAAATCTTTCCTCTCCTCATTTCCATCCACAGGGTGAGATCAACGGCCACCGTGGCCTGGTTCCCTCTAACTTCCTGGAAGAAGTGCCTGATGATGTGGAGGTGTATCTGACCGATATTCCGTCCCACTACCCCCAGGAAGAGTCTGCAACCCGGCCCCCTGCCAACTCTGCCGCCTCCATCTCAGAGGGCAAACGGGTACATCATCATCGCCGCTCTCAGCGCTAGGCCCTGTGTTCATCCATCCTCCGTCCTCTCTCTTGATTTCCGTCTCTCGCTTCCTCCACTTGCCGTCTGTGTGCTGTTCATTGTGTGTGTTTGTCCATGTGGTGACAGTGGTGACTCTTTACAAACTAACAACCCCCAACCTCCCTCCTCCCTCCTTCTCACCCTTTGGAAAAGGGGACAAAAGTCCAGTGTTAACACCTTCCTGAGTCTCAGAGAAAGGAAGAAGCAAAGCCTGACACGGACAGAGAGAGGATAGACTGTGGGAGCTCTGCGCGTGATTTATGCATGTAGCACTGGTTAAGGAGGACTTGAAAAAGGCTGAACTCATTCCTTACACAAGATAATTTGGTACCTCTTTGCACTGAAACACAAAATCAAATTGTGGTTATTGTGTATAATGATAATAAGAAGAAAGTGCTTTATTAACACATAACAATTGCTACCCAATGACACTGAAATAAATTATTTGAGAAGAAAACTATAAAGATGAAAAAGAGAGAAAAGCATGCCTTTTTCAAACTTGATACATTTTATAATAACTTTCTTGGCCTGACTGCTGTATTTCCTTAAAGAGGCGTTGTTCCTTTATGTATATTGCACACACATCAAATCTATTTTTCAGCCCTGTTGACAGTGGATATGCCATGTTTGCTCTGAGCTCGAGAGACAAAACTAATCGCAGCACTGATACATCCATATTGTGTTGTTACAATGGAACAATAAAAGAAAAAAATTGGATATTAAAACAATTCTTTTTTTGCACTCTGTGTTCATGTGTGTTGGTGGTGTTGTTGACGTTGTTGTTGTTGTTGTTGTTGTTTTCATAGTTGTGTGGGTTTTAGCGACAGTGCTGCCACATCTGATTTCTTTTTTGTTTTTCCTCACCCGCTTGGCAAAACAAAACAAACAAACAGAAGAAGATTGTTCATTTCACACCATAAATGGCTCTGTCTGCCTTGTACAGTAAGTTGGCAACTTGAGATACCAAACTTGCGGCTCTAATGCACACAGCTTGTGGTCACAGCAAAGGCTTCTAAATGACACTTTGCATTATGGAAGCACTTGCCAAGTGTTTTTGTAATGCTTTTGTTCACGGTGACATATCAGATCAGGAAAATTTGGTTTGAGTGTTACCAAAATATTAGGTACAGTTTCAAATGTACACAATAATTATTTCAAATTGTAAAAATTTTTATAGTATTTGCCTCACAATACTGAATAGCATTATTTTTTTCACCCATTGGCGATCATGATACATCATAAAACACACAATAAACATTTTGGACCGATTTGGAGTCTGAGAAATCTAGACACTGGAAATTGGACATTTCATTATATCAAAATACAAACTATAATCTTACTGAAAGTGGACAAATGCAGAACTGTGTATCCAGCTGCTGCATTAGATGAGAAGCCTGGTATCTACAGTTGTGTCCCTGGGTGTTGTACTGTATATGACTGTACTGTATGTTCCCTCATGGCCTAACTGATGGTGGACCTCTCCGGCTGTGTGGTGTGCTGATGTCGTGCTCAACATTTGATGGCTTTCTCCTAAGTGTTTCTTCTACACATGTGCAATGTGTGTGAGTGTGTGTGAAAACATACCAAAAATGTACTGTCTTTGTAATAGGGATTAACAGGAGCGCAGGTGATAGATTTGGCCATTTGAATACAGTATTAAGAGAATATTTAAGTTCTATTCAGTGTGAATATTATTAGGTAGTTAGTAATTTTGAATACTCTAAGCCCTGGATTGTTATGGTTCACACCAAAAGCAGATCTCAGTTTAAACTTTGCACTTTAATTTGCATTGTTAACACATTTATAGCAGTGGTTACAGCGGCCAAATCACAGATAACAAAACAAATGATATAAGGACACTCTGAGGTAGATAATAAAAACATAAATACCTAGAAACTGAAAGAAAAAAGAACATACATTATTAATAGAGAAAATGTAAATTGTTGCCATGGCTGCATAATGCTATTTCTTCTTCTTACTTTGTGGAAAATATTCAGCTTTTTTAAAATCTGCATCTGAATCCAGATCTGCATCAAAACACACATTGTGCTAGACTGCCATTTGCCATTTAGCAAAAAGAAAAAGTATTTCCTAGCTAACCTTCCATAAATGTAATTGAAATAAATAAATAAATTATAAATAATTTCCTACTAATTATCAAATTTGAATGTAATTTGTTCATTTATGTGTCAGTGAATGCACCTCAGCCCACTGAGATTTAGATAAAAGGCAGGTTATTATGTAAAGAGTTTAGATACATGAGAACTCTTGTACTCTTTTTTTGGCACAAAACAAGCAGTGCGGTTTGAAAACTTTCATCACACTGGCTTCTGCATTAAAAGCAGCTAGTGGAGTTTAATGCAGAACACAGACAGACAGACAGACAGAGGCCTAGTCTGCAGTGCGGAAGTGTTGCTTCATTTGTAATACGCCGCCCCATGCCTCCACACCTCCCCACCGCTTCTCTCCTCAGGTTACCACAGAAAACACAGACACGGTTGACAACGACGCCACACCTGTCCGAGCACCATCCCCGATTGTTCGGCCCCTCCTCCCGGGCACCATGAGACCCCTCAGTCCTACAAGGGGCCCTCGCCTCCCACGGGACCCCCGGGACTCCCAAGATCTGGCCAACAAGAAGAAGAAAGGACTACTTTCCAAGGGGAAGAAGCTGCTGAAGAGACTCTCCCCAGTGAAATAAATACATGTACATACACATGCTGGCTCCTGTATATTGCACCCATATCAACTCTGATCCAACAACACATGACAGAGAGGATGTGAGCTTTATCTCCTGGACTGCGTGAGCCTATTTGAATATAACCAGTGATACAATAATTCATGTTTGGTGATGAATACAAGTCAGCTAAATTATGTACAGTGCAGTGCCAAAACCAAGACAGAGGTCACCTGCAGAAACAAAAACATAACTGTGATGTATTTTAAATCAACAGATGACTTAAAAAAACAAAACAAAATAACTAGGATTTTCATGACATGTATTTTTCTCTTTTTTTATCATTAATCAAAGGAACTATATATTTATTTCAAGCAGGGTAGCTGTGAAAACAAAGCATCTGTTGACGTCTACATTTCTAACAGCCTTTTTTTCTCAACAAAAAGACCCCATCCATTTTTGTGGCATATTGATGTCTCTACAAGGAAATACAGACCATACTCCTCCAAGAAAAACCTAAATAAACTACACTGTTATCGAGGCATTCTGTGAAGTAATGCTGGCTGCTAACTCAAAAGGCTTTATTCAGTGCAATATCATAGAGATGTGGTAGCATATTTTGCAAGAAAAGAAATATTTCCACTTATACCTGTGATTCAGCAAAGAGTTTTCAGTGAGAATAGTAGACTGGCAACAGGGCATTAACGTCAGAAACACCGGGCGAGCATAGCTGTCTCAGTGGCCTTTATGAAAATGATATGAGCGTGACATTCCTCGTTTGATCACAAGGTTGATTTACACCAGTTCTTTTTGTTTTATGTCGGGTGCTTTGTCTTTTAAAAAAAAAATTAAATAAGAGCAGAAATGTTTGTTGCCCTCGCTGTCAAACTGTCATGAAACGCCTAGTTCAAGACGAACCTTTTCTGTCTGTCTGCCTATTGCACAAAGCTGTGTGTTCTGTCTGATGATTGGTAAAGACATGTTTAGTGTGCCTGTGTGTGTGTGTGTGAGAGAGAGAGAGAGAGAGAGTGTGTGTGTATGTATGTAAAGCAGTATGTGATGCATTCATGTTTTGCACCTTTCATGTTTCTTGTTCTCTTATGTTTTTGTTTTTTTTCTGAATGAGAGGCCATGTAGTTATTGGTCCTGTGATCTAGTGATGTGCTGCTACCTCCATTGCCTGTGCACTGTTTTGTTGTCTCATGTTGATATAGAAGGCCACCTTAAATACTGACCTATTTAACTTAAACGTTTTGGATCTGGTTACATTTACGCTCTACATGACTTGTACTTACTTATAAGGACTATATCATAAAAAGTTAACATGTCACACAAATGGTATACATTTATAAGGAAATCTGGCACAGAACATGTTTAACTGTATTCCTATGATCTTGGATAATTGAACAATTTATGAAATAAGCAGACACACTGAAAGCTTGAGTCTGGAGAATCAGTAATGCCAATATTCGTTTGTTGGTCAATTTAGTTTGTTGACTCACTGAATGTTTAATATATTTAATCAAGTCTTCAACGACGAATACATCTATATACATAATGCCTCTAAAAGATTTGTAACAGAAATTATAATCAGATCAGTAGGAACTACTGCCACATTGACTAATTAATTTAATTGTCTATTAAATCAGTTTTGCATTCATTGTCATTGTGAAAGCTGCAAATGACAGATTAGGTTGCATCTTGTGAGAAAATACAACTGAATCTGATACGTGATATGTGATCAGTGAAATTGAAAGTCAGCATTTCACTCTGAATTTTTCAAAATGTAATTCGTTTTTACTTGTTTGAATGTCTTCCCCCCCCCACAATATTCAATTTCAATTTAATCCATTAAATTTACTCCATTAAAAAGTATTGTTACATGCAGCATGCATTCAGCATTCAGCAACATTCACGCATCCTAGTCAATCCTTGGAAAGGTTTTTGGTGGTTTTAACATTCAGGTAAATTGGAAAACCTGTAGCTTGGAGAGCTAATCAAATTCTAAAAGGAAATGCAAAAAATGCACCCACCCCCCCAAATACCCAATCAAAATTGCTTGTTTTCTCTTATGTTTTTGACCTCTAACCTCCCATCTGACTGATCACATATAGTCACAGCACACAATTCAAATGTATTTATCTCAGACCCCTGTGCTGCTTACATTTTTGGCTTTCAGGAGACAGTCATTGTGTATGTTAATTATACAGGATTATACGAATAATGAGTTAGAATTTCATTCTTGAGAGCAAATATTAACTCGAATTACTGTGAGGAAGGGGCTGCATTACTGTACCGACACTTTGTGTGCTGTGGAGGTGACTTAAAGTGCACAAGAACTCATTTACTAACCGGAGGGATAGTATGTCTCATAGCTTTAATTATTTAAAAATTTCTATTCTCTCTCTGTTTAGTTTTTAATATCCATTCTATCCTATTTATCTCTAGTTGTCTGTTATGTCACGTTGCACTTGAAAGATGAGCCAGATGAAAGTTTTATTGTGTAAAACAGGGTTTCTCTCCTCATTATTAATATTATTGATTAAATGCAATGACAAGAGAGAGGGTTTGCCAAAATGGAATGTAAGAAAAGTTTGGGCTGGTTATAGGTTCACATCTGATTATTTTTGTTCCAAAGCTGTCATGTATAGTTTCTTATTCATTCTGTCACAAAGTTGAAATACTGTAATATGGTGTCCCAATACCAAATCATTCACTTGTGAATGGGTGTAATGTCTCTAAACGCTGTAGCTCTTTTGTACTTTGATCCATTTGTAGATAATTTATAAATGTTTCTATACTTGATTTTACGGCAGCCTTTTTGTTAGTGCACCGAGACTTCCTCTCTCTGTAAAAGACTGCGAGCATTCTCCATAGTGTCCTTTGAAATCAGATGTATCAGTCCACCGTATGTGCTTGCTTTGTGAATCAAAGTTTAAAAAAAAGGAGAAAAAAAGACAAAAGAGAAATCAGTGGACAGTATTTATGGTGATTCATTTTGTGTGGGTGTGCATGTGAAAAAATACAACTTTTATAACCAAATTAAATTTGATATTTTTTAGAA